GCACCCCCCCCGCACTCCTCTTCCTCCGCCAGTGCTTCTTTATCCCCTGCCCACAGCAATTTTGTTGTTCTTAACTGTACCTCTTAGGTCATACTTTGCCAGCCTGGTACCATCTCAAGAAAAACATCTGGTCAGCACCAGGTTGGCAACATGAATAGCTCATTTTTCCGTCAGAAATTGATGGGTTTCATACCTAGTCCTACTGAAAACCCTGCCCCCAATCTACAAAATCCACTAGGCTTTAACTGAGGAGCCTCTCGGGATTCTGACCCCAGTTCCTGCCTAGAAATTCATTTCATTTCATGTGTTGGTGACCCTAATTGGCTGGAGGCAAGTGGTGGGTTTGAAGTGCAGGCATATGGTTCGCTTAATGCATATTAAAGCAACAGACTGAAAATTGCTATCTCAGCAGTGTCTCAAAGACCCTTCTAAGCAAAGAAATTGCCATTTATCCTAATTCTCCACTTAAATATTTCTGCTTTTCATCAGCAAAATATTGGCAGCAGGGTCCCTTTGAACTCTGAATGAGATAGACATGGGAAGTGTCAGTGTAGAATAAGGGAAGCCTGAAATAATAGGCATGATCCCAGTGATCTAAGATGGCTGGCTTCCCTTATTCTGCCTCCCCAATGCATAGTGAGCTTTGTTTTCCATTTTTTTATTTAAAAAAATCTCATTGCAGATGTGAGCTGTCCTATGGTGAGCCTTAGCATGCAGGGACAACTATTCCACTTCTTAAGCAACATTTCAAGTTCCCAGGACCTCCTTGTTTCTATTTTTAAAATGAATTTTATTACTTGAAAGAAAATAAAAATGGTTTCAAATCCCATGAGCTGCGAAGTTAAGAAAAGGTTAAAACCGACTGTTCCTCCGTCCTTTATTGTAATCCATTAGGGGAGGGGAGGGGGTCTGTGACAATTTGACCTTTCAGGAAATTGAAGTATCTTTTCTGCCGACTCTTTCATTGCCCCAGAGAGTCATCGGTGATGAGATCAGGCCCAGAATAAGCAAGCAGAGAAGAGTTATGACTTTTCTTTCATAAAGGAGGATGGAGGCGAAAGCAAGCAGTGCAGTTGCTTGAAGAGCTATTCTTACCAGCATTCGCCGAATGTATTCTGATGCATCTGCTGGAGGCCAGTTTGATTCACTGAAATCAATACAGCAGCTCCACTAGTCAGCTGGCCAGGAGAGCATCTCGCTCAAAATAAATGTGGGGCTCTAGCTCACCGTAGCCAAAAGGAGGACACTTAGAAATGGAAGATATATAATTCTTATATCCAGTCATTCATTAGATACTGAACATCTGCACAGGCCTTTTTTACTCTAGTTGCCCCACAAGCTTATGCCTGATCCATTTATTAGTAATATTTTTATACCATTTAAAATACACAGTCCCTGAGCAGTTTACATAGGATAATGTGCTACGGATTGTTATCAGTGAGTTCCTTTATTTCTTCACTGATAATTGTAGAATTGTTATGTGTTCTTTTTGGTCATCTTTTTTGTGTCGGTAGCACGTATACTTTGGGTCTCCCTGCCGATTAAAATCGAGCAGTCTCTTTCTGGCACCTGCCAAAAACATTCTTGCTTAGACAAGCCTGCCCAGCTGAGGCAATTTTAATCTGTTTGGGTATTTTAACTTTTAAAGTAGGGTTGTGAATTTTTCCTGATTTTCTTGTCTTATCTTTTTGCAAGCCAGTTTGGAGGTTTTTACAATCAAGTGGCGTATAAATTTTATGAGATAAATAAACAAATCTTGTTTATTTAACTTGAGGGTTGTTGTTTTTTAGCTTAACTTGTGTTTTTTTTTTAAAAAACAACAACTTTATTTCAAAATTAAATAAATTGGAATTCTGTGGAAAGAAATGGAAAACATATTTAAAAAGAGAATCTGCAGAATGCTGATACGTTTTATCTAAGTTATCTATGTTCATTAATTTCAATGGGTCGACTCTGAGTAATACTTAGTTGAATCCTGCGCAGTGAGTAGTATTCACCTAATGAACTCCATCAGCAGAAGCCCAATGCAATGGCTTCCACGTGTTCAGTTGGGCTTCTCCCCAGTCTCCCTATGTGCCCCAACACCACCACAATTCTCTCAGAGTGGGGAGGTCAGGAGAACCCCCAGAACAACACGTGAGAGGAAGGGGAGGGGTGATCTGTCTGGCAAGCCAATATGATTCCACAAATGTAAAGTTTGTAAGAGCATTGACAGTGAATTCTACTCGTTGTTTTTCATCCTCTGTTCTCCATCTGTAAAAGTGCATAATAAGCATCTACCTCACAGGGTGAAGAAAACAGATGTCGTTAAGCATTTTGCAGATTAAAAAACAAACCTTTTATTGAATTTCTGTTATTAGTTATATCTACTGAGGTGGTTTGACTACAGTATTTTAGTCAATACTATGCTCATGTTTTAATAAATACATTTGTGAGGGATATAAAGAATTATTCATACTCAGGTTTGTTCTACATGAAACTGTAAGCTTCTAAAAAGCTCCGGGTTTAGTTGTGCCCAGTTCTCTGGAAACCTCCATGCAGATCTGACATTAAGAACAAAGGTGGGTCAAACCAATTGTTTTATGCTAAAGTTAGCATCCGGAGAATAACCCTAGAAAGTATGTTGACTCAGAGACTACCTCTGAGTCACAGTGTTTCCTCTGTTTTCCCTTAGCTCCCAAAGGGTAGTAATTTACTGCTGGCTGTATATGCTGCAATAATTACACTTTTAGCATATTAAGTCACATGCAGTACAGGGATGAAAACGACCAGGCCCAGAGTACTCACACAATGTCCAATGGTGGTACAGAATAACAACAGGAGAGAAATACGATCTGGTTGTATACCTAGGTGATTTGCAGTTTCTGAAACAATATGCAAACTGAAATGCAGCTATCCTCCCATGTTCGCATAGAACCTCCCTATTTTCATCGGATAAATACTGGAGGGGACACTTGTATTTTCATCAGAGAAATGTTGGAGGTTATGGGATTACAATTAGTTTCTGGGCCCAATTTCATATACAGTGGTACCTCGGGTTAAGAACTTAATTCGTTCTGGAGGTCCGTTCTTAACCTGAAACTGTTCTTAACCTGAAGCACCACTTTAGCTAATGGGGCCTCCCGCTGCTGCTGCTGCTGCTGCGCCACTGGAGCACGATTTCTGTTCTCATCCTGAAGCAAAGTTCTTAACCTGAGGTACTATTTCTGGGTTAGCGGAGTCTGTAACCTGAAGCGTCTGTAACCTGAAGCGTATGTAACCCGAGGTACCACTGTACAAGAGTTACGACTCATATGGTTAGAGATCAGGATACCTGAAGGACCATCTGCTCTCCCATGAATCCACCATTGTCAATGGAAGCCACTAAGACACCAAGATCATCAATGGAAGACTTCATGTGTGTCTGACCAGCAAATGACATGTGCTTGTTGGGCTTCAGAAAGGTGACCTTATCTGTGGTTGTGCTAGAATTTGTCTATGGTTGCATTAGAACATCTCCTGCTTCTGGGAGATCAGCCTCATGCCTTCTCTGTCAACTTTCTTTAACAATAATAATAATAATAATAAATGTTTCTGTTCAGAAAAGCTCTTGGTCTATAAGAAGTGTGGGCAACCCTCAATTTTTGTGGGTGGGTTGGAGTTATAAACGAGTTGGAGCTTGGAATTGTTATTGAGGAAATGGTTTTAACTCTGGCATTTCCTAGGATAGCTTGAACTGTTGGCTGCTGGTGCTAAGAATTTCTCTGTTGCCCTGTTCTTACGTTGGTATTTTACTGTTTTACTGCTTTACAAATGCTGTTGTCACTGTGGACCTTTGGGGTTTTTTGGAAAGGCAGGGGATAAACCTTTTAAACAGGCAAATTAACAAGACTATCTTAATTACAGCAGAGAAACATAAAGGAGGTTTTGTTCAATGACAGATAATCTAAACAGGTGGGGGGGGGTTAGACAATGCATAACTGGAGATAGCTTCATAAATGCACATATCACGCTAATGTTTGTGGGCTTGGTTGAATATATAAAATCCTCTTTCTTCTTGCAACTACATTGATGAAGAACCTATTTTTGGTAGGATGCCTCCAGTAATATGGCAGCTATGCTGGTGGAAATAGGACACCTGTGTGTGTAGCGTGGAGCCCAAAACAGAGAAAAATAGTTACAGTATATACTTCCAAATATCTGTCCTGAAAGGCAGAAACCACTTCTTTGTTCTTATGAAATATTTCCTTCAGAAAGCATAAATGGTTTTTTACAAGAAACAGGCCACTGAGTTCATTCAAATTAAATGTAATTGACTTTACCCCCCGCCCTTCTGAATACATTTTAAACAAAAGCTTTGGGTTCTTTTTAAAATTAGCATTCCTTGAATTCAGTGGGGGAAATCTTGACCAACGTAAAGAGTTGGCAAAGAATATCATCATATAACTACAGGATAAAATGCCATTCGTAGTGAGGAGACTAATTTTCTCATCTTCATTTATGCTGCTTTACCGTTGCCGTTATGAATTTAGAGCTTCGTGGCCTGCATTTTAAGAAAGTTTTTGCAAGCCTACAGGTTAGGGCCAAGCCAGATACGAAACTGGGAGGTCTACAGCTGACTCTCCTATGTAAAATCATTTGGAGTAAGGGGATAAATTGAATTGGGGCAGGATACTGCAGAAGAGGACTAACCTTGCCCTCCTTGCCATTTACCCAATTTAAGTCAACACAGAGAGAGAACTTCTAGGCGCTGTATGCAACCTGTTATTAAAATTATTATTATTACCTGTTTGACCCCTAATTTCCCTGGCTTCCATTTTGGCTCCATCAGAATATCTTGTATAAGTATTCTGTTCTTCCCCATTTATTCCACCCCCTTTCTCCCCTCAAGAGATTAAAATGCATGGAAGGCACACATTGGAAGCTACCTTAGACCTTTGGTCCATTTAGCTCAGTATCACCAATAAATGACTGGCAGTGCTTCTCCAGGGTTTCAGACAGAAGTCTCTCCCAGTCCCAGATGGAGATGCTAGGAATTGAACCTGGGTCCTTCTGCATGCACAGCAGATGCTCTACCACTGAGCTTCAGCTGCTCCAAAATTATGGATGGTCTCACTTTGGTTTTCTTCAGTATACCTGAAGGAGTATCTCTACCCCCATCGTTCTGCCTGGATACTGAGGTCCAGCGCTGAGGGCCTTCTGGTAGTTCCCTCACTGTGAGAAGTGAAGCTACAGGGAACCAGGCAGAGGGCCTTCTCGGTAGTGGCGCCCGCCCTGTGGAACGCCCTCCCAACAGATGTCAAGGAAATAAACAACTCTCTGACTTTTAGAAGACATCTGAAGGCAGCCCTGTCTAGGGACGTTTTAAATGTTTGACGTTTTATCGTGTTTTTAATATTCTGTTGGTAGCCGCCCAGAGTGGACGGGGTATAAATAAATTGTTGCTGTTGTTGTTGTTGTTGTTGTTGTTGTTGTTTCTGATTTATGTCATTTATACACTGCAGAGAAAAACAGGTGCCATGTGTATGGGAATTTCACCACCTTACAAATGTGTGACCCAATTCTGAATTGACTCTGTGCCAACAAGACATGGCAGCTGAGGAAGCACCGCATTGATTGGAGTACCTGTGTTGAGGCAGTATCCAAGAAACGTCCAGCGGGTACAATGGGGTAGTGGGCAACCCTCCAAAAATATTTCCTGCTGCCCCTTTGTTTACCTCACACGACTGACCAGAAAGGTGACAGAGCTTCATGAATCACTGCAAATTAATTGTCAGATAATCACAGTAGATTAATGTTGGAGTTTGTATTAAAAAGAATGAAAGGGTGCAGGTGGTGCGAAGTTTTTTTATATATAAAAAGAAAGTCTTCTCCATTTCCCTCCCAGTTTCCTAGTCCAGCAAGCTTGAGTCAATGAAGGTAGCTGCCTGTGAGGAAGGGAACTTTCCAGCCACTAGGCCAAAAGCTGGACACACACCCCAAAACAATCTGGCCAGAGAAATGGGTATTTTGCAGTGTCCATGATATTTTTTTCCCCATTTACAAATGTGACCCCCAGGCAGGTAGAGGACTCCTGTTCAATATAGACACAATCGAGAAGAAACATGAATCCCATCAATTTCAGTGCTTAACAGTACTTAAATTTGGCTGGTCCATGCCCCTTATTTGTAACAGATTTTAATCTTTCAACAGTATTTTATCCCTGTTGCCATAGCCAGAAAAAAGTTACTATTTGTCTCTTGTACTACTTTGTTATGCTTTGTTTTCTATCCAGCAGATCTCCCAGGCATGCCTGTGTACTTTACGCTGATGAGGATAAATGAGTGCTACTTTTTCTTTTGTTAATATTCATCAGTCAACAACATCCTTATACATTGTAAAGGGGTTCCCAAATGTATCTTAATTGTAGTGATATATTAATGACAAAATGCAAGAGGCAAATTTATGTTCCACTCTGTATAATAAACTTCAGACAAATTTTGCAGCTTAAAGGAAAAGGGTGGGTAGGAGACTGTTAAGTTCATATTATCTTGATTTGAACGCTAGAGAAACTGAAGCAGAAAACGTTGGTCATTTGAAATAATTAAAAGGGCTTAAAAGTTAGTGGGAAATGGATAGCAGCAAAGTCTTCTCCCTCTTCTGAACCACTTTTTTTAATCATGAATGACACATTCCACCACCCAAAATAGCAAATTATATGTGAACACGAAGAAATAAATGGGGATAGGTCCAAATGGATGCCATGGATTTGAAAGGGAGAGACCTAATTTTAACACCGAAAAGGAATTACAGACTGTCTTTCTTTTTATAACCCTTTCCCAGGGTCCTGCACTTCCTCATTTGAGACTTGGATGGGAACCAGAAAACAAATACTGAAACACCCTGAGAAATGGGTGGTGCATGCAGGATTTTCCACCAGGCTGACAAAATGGTATCTTGTGCTGATATCTTTCAGCTTGGTCCATAGGATTACAGTGCTTCCAGTGATAACCACACACACAAAAAGTTATTTTCATTAACACTATGCAAGTGCCATATTAGTAGTGTGGTCATTATGTAATCCTATCTCATTAACCATTGCTATTGGATGTTGCTTCTCATGTTCCTATTGCAAGCTTCTCAAACTGTCTGCTTCCTTGTCTTGGTCTTTGTGGCTGCAAACTCCGGAGAAGGCACCTTATCTTGCCTCCAGTCCAGCTGTTATCTCCATTTGTCAATTAAATGAATGAAAAGGGAAATGGGAAGGGCCGGCCCTGTCATTAGGCATATTTCCCTTCGTTTCTGGTGGCAATATATCTTGGGTTAGCCCTGAATACAGGCCATCCCCAGTTTAAAGGAAGATCCATTAATTCCCCACTCCCATGTCACTCAGTTAAGGGCATTAAAAGAGTATTAGAGGATAAGGCTAGTATAGTTAGTTATTAACTGATTTTATTATTATTAATTATTATTAATTAATTTATTTATTTATTTATTTATATCCCGCCCATCTGGCTAGGTTTCTCCAGCCACTCTGGGCAGCTTTCAACAGAATATTAAAATACAATATTCTATTAAACATTAAAAGCTTCCCTAAAAATTTCTTAATCTTACTGTAAACTGCTTAGAGATTATGGCAATTAACTGGTTAATAATAATAATAATAATAATATCATTTATACCCCACGCATCTAACTGGGTTGTCCCAGCCACCCTGGGCAGCTTCCAACAGATATAAAAACATAATAAAACATCAAACATTAAAAACTTCCCTGTACAGGGCTGCCTTCAGTTGCCTGCTAAAGGTTGGATAGCTACTTATCTCACTGATATTTGATGGCAGGCTGTTCCACAGGGTGGGTGCCACTACCAAGAAGGCCCTCTGCCTGGTTCCCTGTAACCTCACTTCTCACAATTAGGGAGCAGCCAGAAGGCCCTTGGAGCTAGATCTCATTGTCAGGGCTGAAATATGTGGGTGGAGATGCCCCGTCAGGTATACAGAGTTGAGGCTGTTTTGGCTTTTGAAGGTCAGCACCAACACTTTGAATTGTGCTCTGGAACATACTGGGAGCCGATGTAGATCTTTCAGGACTGGTGTTATATGGTCTCGACGGCCACTCCCAGTCATCAGCCTGGCAGTTGCATTCTGGATTAGTTGTAGCTTCCGAATCACGTTCAAAGGTAGCCCCATGTAGTGTGCATTGCAGTAGTCCAAGCAGAGCAGAACAAAATTGGAATAAATAAAATCCATAGCTACTTGCCATAAGGGCTCTGCTCTACCTCTTCCATGTGAGGAAACATGGCTCTGTGTCCCAGTTGCTAGGAGTCACAAGTAGAGAGAATGCAAATCCTTGCCGGCTTCCCATAGGCATCTGGTTGATTTAGCTAACTGAAGGATCAAGTAAATGTTGCATCCTTACAGGAACAGCTATCGTTTTCATTTCAAGGACAAAAATGCTTCAGGCTGATACTTGGCTGGGCATTCATTCTTCGTCCTACGCAGCAGGAAATGATGTTGATTTGATCTTGCCTGAATTTTTCAGGATTGTGATATTTGGTGGACTTGTTTATATTCCATAAAGTGCTTTGAATGCTTTTGATTTTTCAGAAAACGCATGTTGAAACTTGTCTGATGTGTACATGAACTTTCCAGGTGGTGTGTCATCCATGAGCTGATCAGCAATAGAAGCTGCATGCACAACATACATTATTTAAACCATACACACCCCAAATAAATCTGTAGTTTACTCCCCACAGAGTTACAATTCTCAGTACCACTAATAAACTTTGCTGTTGGCATCCATCTGTCTCGAGAGACAATGGAGTGCTCCTCCAGGGGTGAAGTCAAACTGCTGGAGGATCACTGTGGCTGCAGAGACTGGTAACTCACAACTGCGGCTCCCATGTTATTTTTGCTGCACTGGCAGCACTGAAATGGCCTTCCATGGTGTGCAAGCCTGGGCAGTGTGTATGGAGGGCCAAGATAGCAAGACAACAAGGCGCCCTTCTTGGCCTTGCTGATATGGTGCAAAGGAAAGCAGAGCAATATATTTGACACCAGCTGGGCTGCAGGAGTTGCTAGAAAGCGCCATCCAAAGATGTCCCACAAGGGAGCAAGTACAGATTTTTCTTCAAAATTTACTACCAAAGCCTTTCTCACAAATGAGTTTAGTAGCAAGGCAGCAGAGGTTTATGATTAGAGTTTTCCTTCTCCTAGATGGACTACTTTCCCAGGTTGACAAACCCTGTCTGCCCCTCACTTCCCTCTACAGCATGTGCAGAAACCGCCTTGTTGACCATTGGATCCCCACTATTGGTCTCGTCTGCTCAATCTGCCAGAGCCTGTCTTTGCATGTGGGGGAAGTCCCTAACTCGCTGAGGGTTTGAGACCCATTGGCTATCCATTGGGAGCCAGTGTGGTGTAGTGGTTAAGAGCGGTAGACTCGTAATCTGGTGAATAGGGTTCACGTCCCCGCTCCTCCACATGCAGCTGCTGGGTGACCTTGGGCTAGTCATACTTCTCTGAAGTTTCTCAGCCCCACTCACCCCACAGAGTGTGTGTTGTGGGGGAGGAGGGAAAGGAGATGGTTAGCTGCTTTGAGACTCCTTAGGGTAGTGATAAAGCGGGATATCAAATCCAAACTCTTCTTATCCTCACCTGCTTTAGCCAGCCAGTCAAAGCCATTTCCTGGGGTGTGGAACTAATAAACTAGTTCCCAGGATTCTTGGGAGGCAATATGTGCTTTAAATGTGAGGGGTATACACAGCCCCAGACTTGCAAGATTGCTGCAACAAGTGCTTTCAGACCCAAACATGGGACCAGAATGTTTGACTTTTTACATTTAAAATATTTAAATGCTCCGGCTTGCGTCAGCATAGACTTAATCAGGGCTGGCAGCAAAAAAGAGGTGCCAGTGCTCCGTTCCGGTGAGTACTGTCACAAATAAAGCTCTGGACTTAACTGTGAGCCTCTTTTGATCAATTTAAATAAATCACCATTGTTGACTATGGTCCAGTCTGGCTTTCAACAGCCACTGAGAACTCTTACTGCAGAATTTGTGCATTTTAATAAACTTAATATACTTATATTTTGCAAGCTAAATCTGTA